TGGATAATTCAAATTGTGAATTGACTAACATGATAAAATAATGGAACCAGAAGTACAGGCTTTCCAGATTTACATGCTATGACGAAAACGATATCTATGATGACTAGTCATATACCAAAACGTTTGTAGTCATGGTGAAATCATCTCCTTTAATTTGTGAAATTATACTTTCATGTTAATAACATTTCGTTTTTCAGTCTTTTATATCGCTTAGTGATATCTTTTTATTATCATCTCTTTTGAATCAATTTTTCTAGGGAAAATACTTTGAGTTAAAATGGGAAGCTCTAAATGTTTTAATTTCTATACTCGTCGAACATTTGAATATGCAACTCGAATATCTTCTCCAGTATACACATCTTAATTTCAGTCTTTTCAGCTGATGACTAAATTTGTCCTCGTTTTGAATCTGAATTCATTATTCAGCTGAAGATCCAACTAACTTTTGTAATAAATTTTGCTTGGAGTTATGAAACCTGATCCTTTATCTGGTCTATTAATTATTAAATTTTCATCCAGTACGAGATTTTGGTTGATCTTTCCATGTTCTTTAATCAATATAATCTTTATGTTATGCCTATTAATTCTAAACTGGTTTCAACGATCACTCAAATTCGCCTTAAGTCTGGTCTCCCTCTATATAGCAGGCCTGCGGCCCATAGGAATAGTTTAGCTAGTTTTCAAGTGATATCATAATATCGCGATCATAGCAACTATTTAGTGTAACTCAATACTTATGGATTTATAACTGTAAAATCTGAATAACTTGATGATATTCTTTGAATTCTTCTTCCAGTGTATATGTTAGATATTTTGTCGTCAAATATTATCATGACAGTGGTTGATGTGTGGAGGTTCATATAGTTTAGAAACAAAACCAACTTTTTGGCGTTAAACTAATGATGTTTCCAGTATGTGATTCATATCAAACAGTTGTTTCACTTTTGAAACTTTTATTTATTTTGAGTATTTAATTTCGTATGATTTTCAAAAACATAATCTTTACTTTATAAAAATATTGAAATATGTCTCAAAAGATGTTACCTTGACTATAGCGAATTTCGGAAAAAAAGAGTGTTCTACTAACTATTCAAATTTGTTCAAAATCGATCTTTATGAGTTCGAATATTATAAAACTTCTTTACATCATTTTACATCAATCATCTCAAGTTGCCTGATTTCCACACAGAATGATATATTCATTGAATAGTCCTACGAGAATGTATCGATGTTTGCATTCGTTCCTGAACAAAATATAACTAAATGAATTTATAACCTTATCATAAATTTTACTAACAGTACTACTGTGAACGAAGACTTAGGCGGTAACGTCAGATTGTATTTGAATACAGAATTACATAATCTTTTGGCAAGATATGAGAGCTATACACTGAATAGTTCATTTGCAAACTTCTATCAATTGTTTTTCATATTCTGTATGATTCTCTCATTCCACAATTCCTTTCTCTTTTTCTTTGTATGCTCTTCAACTCCATCTTTTTAGTCTTATGCTGCCAAGTTTTGAACTTCCGATTGATGTTGCATACTACTTATGTCGACAGACATTGATAGAAATAGACAATTTTGAGATACTTTTAAAATACAAAACTTGACTTTATGATTGTTAGTATAATAGCTTTGTTAGAGTTTGTAATTAATGAATTAAGGAGTTTATCTTGTGTACTTGAATCCGCATCTAAGTCAAGAGATACTGAAAGTTCCTGCTTTACTGAATTTTGTGTTTGTTAATGCATTAAATATTCTTACGAAGACACTAAAAAATATCATGAACTCTTCATTCTCAATACATTATTATTAAAGAAGTTTAATAGAATGTTGGGTTCACAGGGTGAAAACTATTTACTTTGATGATGCATTCAAAAAGAAACCTGAAACTTTTACATTATTTACTTAGTAAAGAATTGTGTGTCAAAGTTCCTAACTAAACATATATAAGTAAAACGTCCAAAATATAGTCAACAATATCACTAAAAACACTTTTATTCCTGAAGTTCCAGTTTAAAGATGATATAATCAGTTAATGGGTGATACGAGATATAAAAAACTCATAAAAATGACATCCCATTGAAGTAAGATTATGTCTTTATCTCTTCAGCCAGTTAATATTGAATTCAAGATACAAGGAAAAATTGACCAGTCCCTCTGGCTTCAAGTACATTTACCAGATCAACTGCTTCTGTGGAGCCAGTTCAATTAAGAGTGCAACCAAGTAAATACAGCATCATATTTTTGAGTATCACCCCCCTCCACAGTTAATCAGAAACAAAAGAAAACTATGAGGAGTGCTATTTTGACTGATCCAGTAGGCACTGTTTCCTTATCGACACTAAGTCAAGTTTTAAAGCCATGTACAGAGTTGCGAAAAACCTCAACTATGCCTCCAGAATTCGTCTTGTACGTTCAGTAGAAGTCCTAGAAACACATATGAATAAGCTTAATATTTATGAATAGGTATTTGTTCAGCCTCATTATTAATCTAGCCATTCTGATTAAATACTCTTACTCTCCTTAAATTATTACTGTTTTTTGTATTTTAACTTCTAATCTTATTCTTGAGAAATCTGTTTCACTAATTTGACTAGTTTTCTTTGTAATATGTTCTTAAAGAGCACGAAACAGTTATATTCAACTGCTTAATTTCAATCCTATTTATATTCCTACGTAACTAGTTCCAGTAATTAACCGATTACATAATTTCGTTTCATTTTTATTTTTAAATCGGTCGGGTTACTAATTAATTAATCCACCACTATTTATTTGGTACTCACTTCACACAATTACAAACTTACATAATAGTCTAGAGCCATGACGTCAAACCAATAGGAAAATATTTCTTCCCTTAACTTATATTTTTAAAGGAAATGTTAATTCTTACAACACCAGTCGAATCGATCTACAGACGTTGAATTGATAGATATAAGGAACCAATACAGCTACTTCATTTTCACCCTGTGTTACCATTAAATGCATGATAATCACTAATTGTAGCGTTCCTGAAACAAACGTTCTTAGAGCTATTTCGAATGATCTCTGAAATACCATTATGTTAGGTCTCTTTCCTCTAAATTGTGGGCGTATAAATATCTGGTTATGATTTACGGATCTGATGTGTCTTATTATGATCTTTGTGAAGAAGTACTAGTTTATAAACATTGCAGGGTATCCGTTTTTCGTCAGGGTATTACGTAGCACATCTAGTTTCTCTTCAACAGCATAAATATTCTTTATGCCGAAAAAAATTACAGTATGGACGCCAGTTTAGAGGAGCGGTCAAGTTAGTGTTAAGAAAAGGTTATAATGAAATATAAATGTTTATTATTTGAAAAGATGTGGTTTATAAACCATTTCGACTGAGAATTTTTTAGAGCATTCGTTAAACTTAAGCTTAATATATGTGAAATTCATAGTCTTAGACAAAATTATTTTAAACTTTAGAGTTATTAACTGAATACACATTGTATCAGTCATAAACTTAGGAATCTCAGAGCTTTCATTCATTAGTAGTATTTGGAGAACACAAATACACAAAAACGCTACTCAGCAACGTCATGAGCGTCTTAGAATGACAAATGTCACATTTTTCCCATCAAAAGTAAACCAAACAACTTAATCACTAGTGTTTGGCTTGGTGCTTTAAATTAATCTTGTGTTAAGTGTTAAATGGTGATCATTTTTACTGTTTGACTCTTTGATTTCTTCCAAAACTGTCCAGTAGACTTGACTTCTTGAAGCGAACTGATTTCAATGAAGTAACAATTTTTACTGGTGATGTAATATAAAATAACTAATCTTAACAGGGATTGTAAGTAAATCTTTATTATGTTATGAAAATACTTATCCCACGGTAATCTTAAAATAAAAACACAAATGAAAGCACACTGCTGAGGAGTGCCATAATCGGACAAAACGGCCGTCCAGTGCTTCCAGATTTTATGCGGTGGTCTAGCTTCGATTGACTCAAGATTTCAACCACTGAAACCCTTTTCTTGTTTTTACAAGAATAATTATTTGGATAAATTAGCATAATATTAGTTGTAGAAGACTGACCAAGTCATATTTTACTTTTGAAAAATATTGAAGACAGTCAGTGTTACTGAAATCTGTTCCCAATTTTGACAACATATACCTAGTACTGATTAGTTATACTAAAAATTAAAAAAATGTCTGTTTACCACAACAACAAAAAATGTCATAATTCATGGATTTTAGTTGTCCCTTTCCTACATGAAACAGAATCATAAGGATAGTTTGATGATTGCTTACTAAACACTGTCATACATTGATTGTACATTTCCACTTATGATATATTCTCCTGAATTTTAATTATTAGTAACAATTTTCTTCTGACACAATGCTCGATTAGGAATATCTATGAAAATTCAGTATCCAATTTATGCTGATGAAACATGTCTGGTGACTGTAAATAACTAAGAAGAAATTATCTTAAATTAATTTTTAATAGTCAGTACATTTCAACCTTTTGAAGCTTCTAGCAATAAACCAAACTTTTCTTTTATACAATAATCAAGTTTTGACGTATTTCACTATTAATCATAATACAATTTCTGTCGGAGAATGAAATTAGTTTTCATCAGAGTTCACTTAACGTAAGTGATTTTGAATTACATTCTTAAAGAAGGATTAAAATCAAAACTAATATCAAAATATATTGAAAAATTACTGATACTTTTGGAATTAAAAAGATATCATCCTGCACTTTATATCGTTAGATATCATTAGATTAATGCTTCTATGTGATTCAACTTCAAGAAGTACTAAATTCTGTAGTAAAAATTAATAATATCCATTCACTTAGCTTCAAAAGATATGTAGATACTTGCCAAAATTCAATTTGATTATTAACATAAATCTATTAATGTCATGAGTATTAATCTAAGAAAAGATTTTTTCATGTAAAACTCTTTATGGCAAATCTGGAAGTTTCATTTTAGAGCTTTATCCATAGAAAACAAAATATATAGTTAAATTATCACTTTATTTATTACCATTCTATTATATGAAATTGCAATAATCATAAAAACTGTTATTAAGTTAACCAAACAGAACAAAAATAAAATAGAACGTGGATATTTGGAAAAATCTAATTCAATGGGATTTCCTGTAATTTCAGTATAAGCACTTTCAATATGGAAATGTAATTTTAAAAAAGTACTATTATCAAGAGCTTTAAAAGTCTTTGACAAAAAAAAAAGAAAACAAAAACAAGTAAGGCATTTATTTGAAAGCAACTATTATTGGGAGTGTGATAATGTGTGTTTTGTAAATAGTATGTCTAAAACGAGGGAGTTAATATACTGGATAGATTGTCTCAATTTTTTTAATCTTCATACTAGTTAAAGCAAATGATGAGATACAAGTGGAACACCATCACGTTGTTTATCAGGATGCTGTGGTTTCCAATAGGAGGAATTTGGATCAGCTGGCAAAACAACTGAAACACCATCTCGAGAACTGACAATAATATCTGCAGCTTTTTCAGCCATCATTATGACAGGTGCATTTAAATTGCCTGAAACAATTGATGGCATTATACTTGCATCAACAATACGAAGATTGTCAATACCCCACACTTTACAGTTTGATTGCGTAACTGCTGCCTCTATTCTACCATTACCCAAATAACCATTGTGTATCTCATCATCACTTCCGGCTTTACGACCATCAGGATTTTTACCCATACGGCAAGTGCAAGAAGGATGGTATGCACTATCACCAAAAGAACGTACAAATTCATCCAGTTGAGAATTTGATACTTTATCCTCACCTGGAGCCAGTTCTTTGCCTGCGAATTCTTTCGCTAATGCAGGCTGAGCAAATATTTCGCGTGACAAACGAATGGCTGCTCGCATTTCAGCTCGATCAGTTTCACAGGCTAAATAATTTGGGTCTATTTTTGGAGCAAAACCTAGACTTGCAGGAGACAATAAAATTTGGCCACGACTTCTTGACCTCATTGGTCCAACATGCACCTATATAATGTTATTAATGTTGATCAAAAATACTACATTAACTTGTTTGATAAAGTTCCAATTGCAGAAATGTGTTAACTACTCGATCATATTGTAAAATTTAATATTGAATTTTCATTTATTATTCATTTCTGTTTATTGACTTTAAAGAAAGGTTTTATAAGGCATGTTTTAATTTTCAGAAAAGCTTTATTTCAAGCCGAACAGTTATGTACAATATTAAGTCAAGTTATTAATTCAGTTGCTTAACATCACTAGTTCTACTTACTTTTAATATTATTGAATACCTAATTTACGTCGGAAATGAAGTAAGCTCATTATTTTATTTTGTATGTACTATCTGACGCAAATACAGCAAAAAAAATGAAGTTATCAAATATATTATGTGACTAAGCATAACCAGAATATACCATTAAAAATGGAAGCAATGAATAGTATAGACTTTATTGAATCTAAATTAAAAGTGAATGAACTACACGTATCACTGTGTCAGAATGCTGAACAAGAAAAAAGCTCGAAAAAGATCAATTGACAGAAAAACTTCTAAAAACCAACAATGATGGATCACAAATGTTGAAATAAGTGACATAATACAACAAACGAAAGTTGAGAGATGATACGTCGTTCAAGGTTAACGAATGAAAAATGAATGAACTCATATTACTGTAATCGATTTCAAATGACAATAACTAAAAATTTCAAAGACAGATTGATATTACTTGTTGAGTAATATCAGCATTTAATTAGTACAATTTTAGAGTAGTTTAATAGACAGATTTACTCTGACTTTATTACTACTTATTTTCTTACAATGTACATACGTGATCACTGAAAGCAGAATGAGTGTATGGTGTTTTTATAAAAACGGCAAACAAGATGGATATTTCATTACACTATTTCAGTAATTTTATAAGGTCACTAAAAAAACCACAAGTATTAGATAGGTTTGAAGAGAGTGACAATGACCCACCTAGTTTTTCTTCTCTATGTTGTTGTAATTATATTCTAGTCACACTTTAAACACTAATTATTACCAATGTGAAGCTTTTATCTTGAACTAACTGTACGTAAGATGCTTGCGTCAATTTCTATCAAAAATTAAAACATGATAATACAAAGATTAGATTTATTACTTTTAAAGTAGTCTCAAATATGGCCTGTTAATAGATAGAGAACAGTGCTTTCTTAAAAGATCACATTGATCCTTGAACGGTTTTTCATTTACATGTAGACAATTTACCTAAAAGAAATAAAATTTGTACCTTTTTTATTGTTATGAGTGTCCGTACATTTCTCAAATGACAATGCCTTTTCAACTGTACAAATAGCTACTTTTATTCTTTTGACTACCTATTTTTCTTATTGTCATGCTCACTTCCATAATGATTGATTATTGATCACCTTATGCATCCTCTGAAGTCGGTGCTTTTTGAAACGTAGTTAGAACTATATCATCTTGATTCTATATAATGAGTTTATTTTAAACGACTGAAATTTGAATTCTATTCATAATGAATGAAATTACAATCATAGAACGTGATTCTGGTAAATTCACTATTCAAATGAGTAGTTACTTCCAAGAAAATGATAATCGCTCAAAACGGATAGAAACTTCTAAAAAATAATGATAAATGCATATACACAACGCCAAGAAAGATTTATATCTTCCTACTAAATCCATCCTGAATGTTTCGAAAAGGAACATAATAAGAAGTGATCGATCATCTAAATAAGAGTTTATCGATTTTGACCTACTTCTCAAAGTGAAAGGCTATCTCAAGGTTAAAAACTTCTTTGTATTAGAAACTTTATGCATCAAGTGTTGTAGTTATTAAAAGTTACATATATCGTGAAATGAAATAAATAGAACAATTAGACTATTGAGTTTGAAATAGTGATATTATTTGACAATAGCTGTTATGATAACGGTTACTCCATGTTCAAAACGAAATAACCTATACTGACCTAAAATTGTGATGAGATCTGGGACTGAACTAACTCTTTATTAACTTTGTACAAAAATATGGGAAGTATCAACAGGGAACAACCACCCGACGTTCACATCCACCAAGGTTCGTTTTGGAATCAATGCGAAATCCGAGATGTATTTTTCCCCTTACATAATTCTATCACAAAAGGCCTGGGGATCTAAAAACGTTTTACTGAAATAAATGAAGTTTATCAACCACTAAAATCAAATAAACCCAGAGAAATCCATTGGTCAATAGACTAAATATAGCAGTTGACAAGATTATTCCCAAATACATTGCATCAGAACATTAGGAGCAATCTAAAAATTTACTACATATTATTCCCCCATATGTTATACTAGCTTTGATTTAATTTAGATATCTAGCAATAATCGGTCAGTTTTGTGACCAAGCTTTACATTTTTAATTCACCTAGAATGATGTCATATACAGTATTTATTGGAATTTCCTATTTTTAGCCCGTTCACACGAAAACTAGCAACTACAAGAATAAAATGGGAGCGTGAGATCCTTACCTGAAATGCATGCTGACCACCCATTTTACGTCCATGATCATGTATTGTCGATGGGAGAAAATGAAACTGAATGTTAGGGTGAGAAATATTTGCTTCTGTTCTAACGAAACCACCACTTTCTAAATGAGTTGTCGCCGCCCAGCCCCGACGGAATAATATCCATTTTAAACCGATCCCAACCATAATATGTGGATATTTCCATTGAGCTTTGTAAAGCGTTATTGGCTATGCAAAAAAAGTAGAAACTGTTAACGAGAAATTCAGAGCTTATTTTATGAAAAGTTGTTTATTTACTACTCTATCCAAATTTAAACAAAGAATATATTCTTAATCAGGTTTAAATTATTTTGTTTACGGCAAAACACATAACACATTTTGACGTCAATGGCAAACTAGTATGCAGTTTTCTTCGTGCATCGGTAACGAACAATAAACCCTTAATTTCAGAGTCTACAAATTTTACTTTCTCTGAATACCTACAGAATGAATTCGTTTATTATCCTTAAGAGAAATCTAACATCAATTTGTCCTTCTTGACAATATAAATACACACAATTATTCTAATATTCAAACTACATCTTAAATGACGCACAAAAGTACATGGAAAAAATGTAACAAACTATACAAAAACTGATACAAATCTTCAATAGAGTAATAAAAAATATTAAAATGAATATGAAACATCACTTGAATATACATGTGAAAAACATACATAGTTGTAAGCCATAAAAGAATAAGAAAAGTCTCCATTCTTCAAAACATCAGTATACAGTAACAATTTATACTTCACAAATAAACGGTTAACCCAACCAGCTAGATTAAACTTTCCTGACTGTGTGCCACTTAGGATATGCTCCCTTCTATCTAGATTATTTCAGAAATATCTAGGAAGATGAGAGAAAACAACGTTGGTATAACAGTGAAAATGTTTTATTTGAATTTCCGGATTAGTTATGTCCTTGTATATTACTTTATCATGTTATGGCAGCCTGAAAATTAAAGTGATCAAAGCAAAACTGTTTTCACAGCACGGCTTACTAAAATAAAGTGCTGACTCCTACTCTGCAAAATAATAGGTGTTTACAATTTGAACATGGTATTGTCTAACGGCTTGCAATAACATTTGGAAATCACTAAATACTCATTGTACTTATGGTCTTTTTTCTATCTCGCTAGCATACAACACAATGTGGTATGGTCTTCTCGCATGCATGGTGAAGTATATTATGCTAATGGCTAAAGCATAATGATTAGGCAAGTTTGAAAATTTGACAGGGAAGAAATAAGACTCATGATAACAATCTTCTTCTGTTACACGAAGCTATCAGTTTGATTTATTATTATTCAACTTAGTCACAAACCAGATGAAACATTTCTGTTACATTTCACCATTGTCCTTCATAAATTGCTAACAAAAAACTCACGATAGCCACATATGCTTTAATGTCGATATCAGTCACAGGATTACGTGAGTTATGAACACAAATGTATACCTGGGTTTTCATGAAGTTGTGAGCATTAAAAGAAATGGTAATTATTATAAATCTACTTTCACTGATATATACAATCTGAATAAACAACTTAATTGTGATATTATTAAATACCTTTTTACAAGCCTGTTGTACGTATAATTCTAAATGATCTTGTAAATTTTGTCCGACACCAGGTAAATGATGCCAAGCATCTATTCCAATTGAGCGTAAATAATCTACATCACCAATCCCCGATAACATTAGTAAGTGTGGTGAGTTTATAGCTCCTCCTGATAAGATCACTTCAGATTCTGCTCTAGCCTTTTGAATTTGAAAAAAATAATAAAACGAAACCTGCGTCTTTGGTTTGAATAAATGAGACTTTAGTATTAAGTGATAATGTTTAGACAAATAACTAACTAACTGAGAGTTGAAATAGTATAAAGAAGAAATTAACAATTTTAGGTTGCTTCCAGTACATTGTGATAATTTCAAAACCGATTAGAGTTACTATGTGCTATATATCGAAATCTATAATGATTTTGACGTTATAATCTATTCTTATCAATAACATTTTAAGTAGTAAATGCTTGTATTTTAAAAACTAAATTTCTCCTTAAGGCTCCAAACTGAATCACCTTAATAGTTAGTGGCAGTTAATCATAATATAATTCCTGACTGAAGGATGAAGGCAAAGGCAAAAATCATGCTGAATTTTTGAACTTACGTTGTACATATGATATAATTTTTTCTCAGGCTCGAAGAAGAATTCCTAAGGTTGTGTAATATAGATAAACAGATAAAAAATCTGTCATACTTCAGAAAAACGAGTAAGCGAGAAGTAGCGAATGTAAACTAGCCGTATTTATGAACTTACAAAAATAGTTTATAGACGCTGACCCCTTAGAGAAGGAAATCAATAATACAAGAAAATCGAAGTGGGGAAACAACTTGTTGATTATAAACCGTTTGTTCATCAAAGACAATATTTAGAACTGTAAACGTGCTTCATAGATAAAATGACACTAAAGTGCTCACATCTCTGTAAATTTATCGTCATTTGTAATTTTATTGTATTACAGCTCATCCTATAAGGGTAGATAACTATCGCACATTATAAAAAGTAAATTAACATGAATAATTCGAACTAAAATTTTAAGAAGACATTCTTACCTCATGAACTTGACCGTTTTTGCTGTATTTTACGCCAACCGCCCTTTTATTTTCAAAGAGTATTTGCGTGACTAGTGCATTTGTTTCAACAGTTAAGTTAGAACTAGACTTCATAGCTGGATGTAAATAAGCCGTGGAACCTGAACACCTTTCACCGTTTTTAATCGTCATATCAAAGTAGCCCACGCCCTCCTTGAAAATTGTTACGTAAAAATTCATTTATAAGCATTTAAATATAGAAATAAATTATGTTATAGACGATAATAAATATAAAGGAATATAAATATTTATATATATATACCACTAAGCAGTTAAATTTTCGTCACCAAGTGTCAAATTTCTTAAACGTGATTGAAATCAAAATTTCGACCTTTGGTTTCACTATCATTTATGCCCTGTGACGAAACGCCACAGTTACCTTGATGCAGTTAACGGATTTACATTAATTCTGAAGTTACATAAAATCACAAAACATTATGATCCATACAAAAGCCATATTCAAACTTGTATTCGAAATTCATTTTAAGCAAATGATTGAGCAGCACTCTGCAGCATTAATATATTTGTTTATCCTTGACTTAAGTGGTTTATATTCCAAGTAAATCGCTAATTCTTCGACATTAAAAAAAAATACAATTTTTTTTGTATCCAGTCCTCACAAATTAGTCTAAAACTTAGAATACTACTAGACTAGATAATAGTAGTGTGGCTATTAGCACAAATTATTAATGACGTGAACTGCTACACTATTAACCTTAAAATGATTCCGAGTTAAGATCCTGTAATATTTTGAAGCCAATTCGACTATAAACACGTTTGTGCTGTACTTTCCATTTATCATGAGCAGTAATGGAAAACTTTCCAAAATAACATTTACTTTTGTTTTAATCTATGAAAGACGTTTTACTACTATTCCCATAAACAATGGGTTTTTGGATAAAACTCAAAAAGATTTCTAATTCTATTCTGGGGTGAACTCAACGATTAATTTGATCTGTCTGACTATAAAATAAATTAAAGAATTACTCACCGATGTTAGCCAAAACAAAAAGTGGATGTTGTTATCATTGTTGACTGATATTTGGTAGATGGACAATGAAATATACAAATCACTGAACAACTTTATATTCCCAAATAAACAAACCATTAAGGGTGTCCCTGCACATAATCAAACATAGAGCCATTTAGTCCCAAAGTAAGCACAATAACTTCCGATAACTAAAACGTGATCCAGTGGTTTGCATTTCTAAAGTTTATTTGGTCTTTGATCTCGCAAGATCAATATTCGATACCAAAGTATGGATGAATTCCATGATTCGTTACCTTTTATTTGAGCTTAGGCTATTCTTCACAAAGTTAGCCACTCATGGGCATTGGGTTCTTGAATGACTCTCGAGCTACTTTTGGTACATAATGAAAGTAACTTAAAACAGATTACGCTTCAAAAGCCTTAATAACCAAAAGCATAGCATAATCATTGTGTCTCGAAAGTCATAGTAATCAATCGACAAAGGTATAAAATATAAGTGTCAAAACATTAGTCTTACTTGTTGATACCCATTTACATCATCAGTAAACGGATAGCCAGCCTGTTTGCCTGCTTCAATCCAGGCTGAATGTAATGGGTGATTAGTTTTAGCTCTGGATACATATAATGGGCCATTAGAACCTCTATATTGGTTCCCATTGAGTTCATGAGTCTGAGCTTTGCGAAAATATGGCAAGCAGTTTGCATAATTCCAACCTATATGGGGAAGATTTTCATAAATAAAAGAATGGTAATTTGACAGTTTTTCAGTACAAACGTCCTTGTTTTTATCATTTAAACATTTGGAGAAAAGCCTCCATCATCAGGCAGGAAAACAGTGAATACCTAGAATTTCCGTTCATTTTTGAAACTTTGTATATGTAGAAATTCTAACTTAGATCTGAAACCGAATAAATTTTCCTCGCTCATCCATAATGTATTACCATTCAAATGGTGAATACAGTACACCTCCTGAAATACATATTTGTCATTCTTTTACTTTGATTCAAAGACAATGTTTCACATATTCAATGTAAGCTACTATCAAGTAGTGAAAAACATACAACGTACACGAATTATTTTAATAACTAGATTTTTATTTAAAAACACATGTCATTCGGAGACCTTTAAAGAATGTTTATAAATAGTAATGATGGAAAAATGATATGGAAAAGAGAAGGCAATCAAGGTATACCAGGATATCTGATTTACACACTCAAAGCCCCCAAATGCCCTGGTATGGCCGAGAGTGGGGAGAGTTCGCTCTCCCTCTCGAAATGCTCTCACATGGCCACGCGTATATAGCCTCTGCCAGGGAAGTCCTATTCACTGCCTTCTCTTGGTGGGGGTGTTGTTTACAAAAATGAGAGGACGAAAAGCGAATGTCCGGTGCTCTAACCGGATTCCAAACCAATGGTGCACATGGGCTCCAGTATCCTTAAGGAACATATGGCGTATGAACCTATTGTTGGTCACCGGCTACCATGGGACTGCATCTCCTTACGATACTTCACTGTTTTGTGGAGCAGACCTTCAGGTCGAATGCTCGGGGGGTGGCCCCCTAAGAAAACCACCTGCTTCGGTTTGGGCACCCGGGCAGTATCACAGCCCTCACACAGATGGAATGACATTTGTGTGGCGCATATGTATTTGATGCCTCCTTGTACCAATATCTGTGTGTTAAAATAACAAGAATAAATAAATCAAAGCGAGAAATACTGTTCGTATACAACATGACAAACAAATAAATGCTTGACAGAGGGTAGATTCAGAACATACGAAATTTATGTAAATAATGTGTAGTTAATCACTTTGTCAGGTCCTAAGATCTGTGAAATACAGCTCATATGTATGTCGGTATTCTTTGAAGAATAACTGCGAAATTTTTCGTGGACACTTGATCTTAAAAGTTTGTACATATATCTTTTTCAACTTCATTCATCAGAGGTTAGACTTAATGTCAAAACATATAAATTCTACTATATTCTCCTTAGTATGACTACTGGTCTTCCAACTGTTAAAGTAAACCGTGTATAGCAATCTGGTTGTTGTAAAAGATACAAGACGTCCTAAATTTTACTGCTTGCCACTATCCATCTTTGCTTAGGAAGCTTGTGAATTAGGAGATTATAGCGGCAACACGCACAGTATGCACATATGCCAATAAAAGACTGATCAGTTGCAGTTTCAAACCTTGATAGGAAGATTCAAGCAAAAACAATATCAAGTGAATACAAAGCACAATGTTGAAACTTTTAGCTTCAAGTTCAAAGAGAATTTGACTTAAACAATAAACGGAGTAACTGATTAAAATATTTTTTATAAATTGAATCCAATAACAATTTATCATTAGAATATTAATTTTAGAAACGTATCGTTTAATTACCATCAGCACCCTCCAATTCCCACCTATCATAATCTAACGGATGACCTCGAATATAGACCATGGCATTTAAAGATGAACTTCCCCCAAGAACACGACCTCGGGGCCAGTACATAGTACGGTCATTCATATGTCTTTGAGGAACAGTGTGATAATACCAATTGTATCTATAAATAATATCGTATGAGAAAAATCCATGGACACAATTATGTCATTAAACATGCATCAGAATATAACTTTCCAGGAGTGAAAGCAACTAACAACCATAAAACACCACAGAACCACCTATTTTTTCAAAAACTGTAGATTAAGAATGATACGTTCACAAGGAAACAAAGAAAATTTGGTCATTAAATTATTTACAGTGCATTAAGCTGTATGTTTTATAAGGTTGTTAACTGATAATAACATGCATTGCGAATTATAATAAGATGTAAACCTGTGATTTTTCTGTAACTTTCTAGTCGTTAACTGATAGTTTATACTTAAACTTCATTCTATTATTCTTGAAACTCGAGCAGGATGTAAAACTGTAAGTAGCGAAAGTGAACTAAAGTGTAGGTGGACAACAAATTTGTCTAACAAAGCTCCAGATCAATTATATTTATGGCGGCGGTTCGAGTTTTGATACTGACAGAGCTATCTTTTATAATGGTATTGATGTGACAGACCAAATAGTCTGACTAAGTATATCTCTTTTACTTCTCACAAGACAAAATAAGTATCTAGAATCCAAACAATTATCATTCATTAATCATATTGTTGGGGATGTCAGATCCCCAGAACTCGCTTGATAAATACCTTATTTTTGTTATTTTATTTTAAAAATTCGAATTTCTTGTTTTCGAGCCAAAAGTTCTCATTTTCACCTTTGTGTCGTATTTCCCACTCGGGCGAACCTTAAACGTTATCGGTTCGTTGTATCTTTTAGTATGCTATTTTGTAACGCTTCTCAAGTACAGTTTTGTGCTATATATATACGTTTGATTTGTGCCTGTTGTTATTGTTCGCACTTGTGGTTGCTTGCGGAATATACTTCTCCATTTCGAACTTGAACTTCTATCTCTAGTTAGTGGGACTGGGACGCGTCAGAATAGCTAACTTTCTGTTATTGTGTCACAGAGTCTTCATTCTGTTATCAGATTAGGTGAACTCGCTTCAAACATAGCACATATGTTTAAAAACCTGATTCTGTAAACAATCGTACAGACGCTAAACTTTATATAATTAACTCAAAAGTTGTAAGCACTGTTCGTTGTAAAATTCCTGTTTTCAAACAATATCTGTTTATAGTATTCAGGCCTGAATGATCTTATAACTATTTTTCTTTTCTGCCTGAGCATTTTACGATACTTACTTGGTTAACAGTATTTTTGTACGCAATTCTAGTAACTGATGCAAAGAATAATTTTAAATCACATGTATACTGAATTGATTTTATCACACAATTTGCATACGAACCCTATCATTGTGAATAAAGATCATATATTTTCATCTGACAATGAATAACTACAATAAATCTAGGTATTATTTTTCTCTGAATACTATGGTCTATAACTTGTAAGCTCTCATCGCTTCTGAACTTGCACACAAGGTATAAATGTTATCAAAAAAATCAGTACATACATATAAACATGAAATTTCTCATAGTGTCAATGCTGTACAACTTATCGAAATAATAGCTTTACGCTTTATTACAATTTTATTTATCAGAACTGTTGGAGTTATTATGGAATAAATTCTGCCTAAAACTGATGTTTCAAAACTACTTACTACAGAAACTGCTCAGTCAACTTTCAGGAGTATTGCAATTTGCTTACTTGATTTATATTAGGCTTTGATTTTTTATATTATGACGACAGTATCTGAATCGCCTACGTGGATAAGTTTTAACTGTCAAGATGAAACGATAAAACCATCCAAACCTCCTCATAATCATTCACTTTTATTAATGAATCTATCTTTATGGTACTGTAATAAATGAACACTCTTGTGCGAGCAACCGGTGTACTGTATACAAAATTACAGGATCCTTTCATCATACTTTCAATACTTCATTTGCGAATCCTCTATCAATTGTCTCAAACTTCATCGTTTTTCCATTTTCATGAAAATTGCTCCCTCTTCTCGTTCTCTTCAATCTGATCGTCCAAACTTTCTGCTGCCAGGCATCCCACTTTTAATTGGTTTTATATGCTGCTTATGTCGACAGATATAACCGTTTCTTCCTGGCATGAAACTCTACAGCAGTGCACATCCACTACTCCGTACCTTGAGATCAAATCCAGCGTCTGTGCTCTGGATTAACCCTTAGACTTTTACTTACAAAGGCAGTGACCAAATGGAGACCTTTTATTGACATATTTTTTAAATCGCACTGGTTATTAAAAATTAGTTGCAACAAACTATTTTATTATTTATATACACTTTTTATCTAAACGATTGATTTATTACTAGCTCCTATATTAATTCGTATGTAAATTTTCTGCCCACCATATTCTTCAGTAGCTTAGAAGCTCTGATAGTTTTAGTCTATTTTTCAGAAGAATGGTTAAGTAACTGAAATACTATCACATGCAAATATAGGTCTATAGACTACTTAACTGACATTTAAAAATTTTATCATAACCGTAACCAATAATACTTTTATTGTCGATTGTGTACTTTAAACTGATATGTACTTTGTATATAACAGGATAGTTTAAATCATTAGTGAACTGGCAAGCACATAGATAGTAATGTGAAAAAAGTAACAACAAATAGATATGCATATAAATACATCATTGACTGATGCACGTCATTAATATTACTATAATCACTACGAAAATTATGTAAAACATCTAGTCTATTACGTGATTTCTGTTCAGAGTATGGACGTGATTCGTTCAGTAATAATTAAATTCTCAAACATGTTTTGTTTTGGGTTGGTGACGAATAATTACATTTGAGTGTTTATAATAATATTAATATTATCATGATTATCAGACCATATATTGAACACTATAGTTAAAATGAAGTGAATATACTCCTAATAACATACTTTATATTATAAATAGACAATATACAAATCACTATCCAATTTTTTTCTATTACGTCATAAATTCTAGCAAACAACTAGAATATGGTTACAACACCATTTGTTTAAAACATACTTTTTGTGATATTAGCCAGTATTTTTCTTAAATTATTCAGTTGGTGTACTTAAAATCTTGATACAGATTCTCCGAATAAATGTAGGACGCGGAAATTATGCGGCATAATGAGTTCAATACTTTTCACCTTGTTAACATACTGATAGAAGGTAAACGATAGAACAAAATGATAATTTATTTATCACAATCTGATTTAATTTACTTTCAAAGTCGACAACATATATATCCATATAAAAGACTAATTGACTATCTTAAGCGATAAATTAACAGATAAATATTGAAGCGAAAATGAAGTTCCGGACCCGTAAATAAGAGGTTACTGGAGTAAATCTTATTTTAAGGTAGAATGATTTGAACTCAAGTCATTGTTTCTCAATGAACAAGAAGATTTGTCAAAAAGTTTGATAACTTGATAGGAAGGTAATTTTTTGACGGAAATGAGAGTAGTTATCAGAGTAGATTGTGTGATGTAGTCCTCTCAGTTTCTTACTCAGCGATCACATAATAAATAAATAGAAAATCACATTTTATTGATTTACTCAACCCAATAGATCAAGATCGGAACGTGACCTCTAATCTGTTTCACATCTAATCATTCAGTTAACTGATTAATTAAATTATTCGGTCTATGTGTCTTACATTGACTTGAATTATATCAGCATATCTCTATGATTTCATCTTAATGTATATCCTACAGATTTCGTCTTTGAATTAAATATATGATGAATAGCACTCCCCACGACCTTGTAAATGTAAAATTGCTGTTTAAAAAATAGGGACGACGAATAACTCTGATAATTCATTTGATCAGGCAGAAAAAAGTTGTACTAACTACAAAAAGGTAGAATTTCGGCATTTTTTACGGAGAACTATAACTATTTAGTTGAATTAATTTAGTGGTTCCAACTCGCACATCATAAAATACTATTTTAGATTCTATGATTAGTTAGGTATCATTCGACTTCTTGCTTATGTTCAAGAGTGGTCACGAGTTTCATGTCAAATTAAAGTGTGATTTAAAATTAAGGGTAAGAATATAAACTATAAAAGTATAATTATTAAGTAAAGCTGATTATGATTTTTTGTAAAATGATGATAGTTAACACCTTTTAGACACTCCAGTTGATAGAATTAAAGATATGCATCAAACGTGGATTCCCAATCCCTCAGCAGTGCATAAAATATTGATTCGACACCCCTTCGATCCACTTCCTTTGAGCTAAAGGAATTGGATTGAAGGGGTGTCAAGCCAATATTTTATGCACTGCTGAGGCATTGACAATCCACGAACTCGAGCTCGAACTTTATATTCATCATACTTTTAGTATAAATGTGAAGTACATTTACCTGATGAATTATTCATTAACGTTTTTTTCCGCAGTGATATAATGCCCAATTTCAAAATAATGTCGTATGATATGTATCTCTGAATGTAGGTAAAGTAAACGGCATAACTGATATTTTTAAATACAACATGAAAAGTAATCACTTCATCGTTCTTACTAATATGTACAAATAGAAAACTAAAACCAATGCTTATATTTCTAACTATAACAATGTTCAAATGATCTCCCGGACCCGGTATTTTATAGTCCAGCATACTTTCCCACTATTTCTTACTCAAACTAGACATATTAAAGTTTCCCCGAACCATAAGAAAGATCTATACCTTTTATTCAAAGATTCCATCAAACTTCCGACCAAAATGATTATAAAACAGCTATCAAAGATTACCTCAGTCACATTACTGACAAAAACAATATTTATTTGGGACTTTGGTGCAATCAAAGCATCCATAGAAACGACTTGTGGTTATCTCTTGAGAATATAATGAATCAACAGCTCAACGCCCTTTAATTTTTATGAAGACGTAACATGAATTGTGAAAAAATTTTCACTAAATTATTTGTAATACATTGTTATATTTTTTTGAACCTGAAAGCAACTCAGTTCAAACATCGTAAACAAATGAGTAAAATGTTTTATAAACATGCAGGCATCACAAAACTTATTGTTCTTCGGAAACTGGCAAACAGAACTAACAAAATGGCTTACTTATCGTGATAAAGATTGTACATAAGAGCAGCCGGCATCTTAATTGTCCATCTGGAAATTCCAACATCTGTAGGACCAGCTTCTAGAACCAGAACTTTACTAGAATTTTTTGTTTTAGGATGTGGTAAACTTAAACGATTGGCCAAAACACATCCAGCTGAACCAGCTCCAATTATAATGTATTCATAGGACTTCCTAAAGTCATTGGATTTTGCTATCGGCGTTTTATGATTAGTTACGCTACACGATGTCTTAAACAGACGTTTCGTGATATGTTTATGATAATATTGGTGCTTTATAAGTCCATAATATTTTAGATAATATCCTTGTCCCAGCAAGTAATTCATGAAGAGCAAAAACAATTATCTACAGTCAAGAAAACAGAAAGCATACTTCTATTAAAGTTATTCATCAGTTGGAAAGAATAAGCATTTTTCTATTGATTAGTTAAATCTGTTTGTTCTAAGAAAGTTCTGCGATAGATTTTTGAGTATAATTAAATCATATGAGATATAGTACACACCGTCATATAACGAATCGTTAGATAAATTCTACATCTGTTTGTGAAATATGTGTAACAAAATAATACTCCTAATTAAAGTACATCATAGTAAGATATTAAATGAGATGACAATAAAGCTCATAGATTAAGAATCTATAAATGATATTCATATATTGGTTGAACAAACTAAATAACATATCACATTCTCATTTACATTAAAAGCGTTACCTTACAAAGTGATATCATGTAGTAGATTAAGTGAGTTTCGACTGATTCAAGATTTGCTGGATAATTCATATTAACAAAAGAAATAAAGAATTTATTCGTCCTATTATTTAGTGGTTAGTGATCTATTCAAAATTAGCATTTTTCTTAGTTGAATATTATATTAAAACATCTATAGAATTATTAAATAACTAAATCCTTTCACATTATATTTCATTTCAAGTCTAGAGCTCTAATAAACTTAATAAAATACAAATATTTGCTACAAATAGATACGCACCGATAAATAGAGTGTATAATTATTGTATATTGGCTAACAGATGCATGCAATAACTCATGTAAAACATCAGAAAGTAATAAATAATAACTACTTGTTTGAGTTTAGGAAATCGTGAGTTGTTAACTTTATCGTCTAGAACATAGTAATAATTAAACAACTAAATCAATGTGGTACTGCTAGAACTGTCTTAAATCAGTTCAATGTATAGGGATATATTCGTGCCAGTGATTGCTTAATTTACTTTGTATGCGAATTGTCTAGAATTAATGAAACTTGAAGTTCTGTTGATTTTTGTACACCTAAACGACTGGTGAACTATTAATCGTTTTAGGTTTAGATAAGCTAAGTATATTTTTCATTTTTTATTAAATCATTATTAGCAACGTTTTCTAAAAATCACTTGTTAAATGACTGACTTGTCAAAACACCTAGGCTGAATCAGAATTTGGATCATTTTTTCCTTAGATGTTAGTCAGAAAATCTATAGACTATAATATAAGATAGAAAATCTAACAGGTTTTCAATTTCTTCTCATCATTACGTCATAAACATGTAATGTATCCAAATTACTGGCAAGTGATTATCCTTAAAGCTTCATATCAACTACCCAGCCAATATATCTGATCTCTTATGTTACTGAATAGTGGAAACGAGTGAGCATTGCATGATGGAGGATAATAAAAAAACACTAGGAAATGTTGAGTTTCAACAGACAATCTGTCAAACATATCATTCGAATTCACGAAAAGGAATTTTAGGTAAAATGTTTTTATTAGCATTAATCAACATGATATCTAAACTATCCATAACAACCGTCATCGGAAATAATTGAAAAATGGTTATTACTGTCATTTAAAAAAATGTCAGGGAAGATATTTCGGAAGAAGGAATTATAAAATAAGTTTACATCTTTTGTGGTATAAACTAGGGAGGAAATGAAATCAGAACTGAATAAAGTTTCTAAGAAGTATTCATAACTTAAAAAAATATATATGACACAACGAATTGGTTGATTTTGTATCATCTTTTTATGAATTGTTTTGTTTCTTCCTTTAAACTACCTTTAATCAATGAATATATTAGGGAGATGAGATAAGTTTGGTAAAATTAGGTCTGAATAGGAGATTAGATCGGTTGCCGATGAAAATCCAGATAACAGTCCAACAGTAAGGCCAACCTTAGCCGATCGACCGGAGATTAAGTCTGCAGGTGTATCACCGACAATCACTGTTTCTTCAGGTTTACACTGCAAGAAGAAGAAGAAGTGTCTTCAATATACTAATGAGCATTCAAATGGTTGAAAACACAGTGAAGGCAGAATATGTAAAATGCACCATCAATCTGTTTTGTTCTCATGCCATTTATGATCAGTGACAATAAATAGCCAATCTTAAACAATGAATTCGATAGTTTGACTGGCCACGATCAGCGAAAATTAAATTTTAGGGAAATGTTTTGTTTATCACATAGTGAGATTTAATTTCTCATTGTAGTTGAGGACATTTAAGTTTAAGGAATTTCAAGTGAATTAACTGCACATTATGTAAAGTCTATTGACTTCGAAACTTCTCTTTCCTAAACCACTTATCATTTAGAACATTATATCAACTTCTTTCCAAAGTTATTATATTATACGTACATACATAATTTATCCTCACAAAAGTTACTCTTTCATAGTGCGATCACCATTCTAGTTAATAACTTTATTTCGAATCTCCAAAACACCAGGCTATTCACACAAACGTGTGAATAGTATGTTTATTATGACCCTGGAAGGGAGTGTGCGAGCTGTCACCATCTTTAAGCTAACCAACTTATTAAAATACTGTTATAAAACAAAATCAACATCTAATAATGATGACTTTCACTTACGATCACAAAAGGTATGAATTAAAATATGACTCTGTCTAACAGTTGAAATTCATTTATGGTGGTCACGGATAACACTAATTTCAAACAATTTCTATAAATTCCCTATTTTACTAACAGACGAACGATACTGATAGAAATATCAATAAAACTCTGACATGCGAAAACATTGAGTGATGGGTTTTAAATAATTTAAACAAAATTTAAAATAATAAAAGGAAAATCTCTTACTCCAACTTTGTCAATGATTTGAAGCACAGTATGTGGTAAAGGTTTTGGGTGACAACCGGCATCTTCTGCCGACACTATGATATCGATGTAGTCATGCAATTTTAGGTTTAACAAGAAATCGTCACAGGCTTTACGGCTGTCTGAACTATTTATAGCTACTTGTAGACCGACTTCCCTAAGTTTCTTAACTGTTTCAATTGTATCAGATATAGTTATACCGGGTACAGAGCTTGGACAAATCCATATCTAAAATTATATAACACGTAAATTGAAAGAAAATGAACAACAACTTACATATGAAACAAATTAACTAAAATGAAGTAAACTATACTTGAATCTCACAAATCGCTGCATTTCTCAGTAACATTATTTTGAGCTACAGGAGAGCTAAATTAAAATATAATGCAACTATGTACGAGGAGGGGTTGAGAATTAGGTTACCGAGGAAATTGAAGACTAATAACTATTTCCTTCAGAATTCACACAGCTTGTTTTAAGTGTATAGTAAAAATGGCTGTAACGAACCTCAAAAAACGTAATTTTAACTATTGGTCAATCATTTTGGTAGACTCGAAAGTTCCTACATAGTGCTCTATGTCGAGTTCAGTTTTTTCACTTTTAAAGTCTATGTCTTCCCGAAACAACCGAAAAAAATATGCCAGTTTGTATTACTCTAGAAGTAGTAGCACAGTACCTTTATAGCAACTTTTTATAGAAGGATAACAGTTCGAATAACTTCTATTGTTCGTCTGAGTACTCTAAGTACTCTAAGTAGTTGGTCCTCCCGAAAAATGCTGTGAAATTTGCCTCAGTTACTAAGTAAGTCAGAAACATAGCTAACCTGATACAAGCCAGATTGCCACAAAGCACATTAAAACAAAGATGGAAAATTGGAAGAACGAAAAGTATTTAAAGTAATAGTAATAATTATGACAGAATTTGTACAATACACAGCACATATTGAAGATAGCTACTCATAATGGTGATCTTCAAAAACTCCTTTTCAGTTTCTGAATAACCGGGAAACAGACTGACGGGAAAAACACATTTATTCATGCCTAAGGATATCTTTTAATGACATACAGACGAAGACATTTCGTAAATTTTAAGTGTATTCTACTAGAAAAAGTTTTGATCATTTAAAAATATCCGCTGAAATATAAACCCTCTAGAAACGATGCAGGACCTAGTAAAAACATGAATCATTTCAGTTCACTACACTTTTATGATTATGATGAAATGAAATCATTTAGTTAAAACTAAAAGCATCAGAAATGAATATATCGCTTATAGTTCAAAAAGCTAACTTAAAGAATATATCCACACTAGAACTGACGAAGTCTAAGGACTGGAGGTACGCGGAAATTCTAAACAATGAATGAAGAATGGATTCATCCAGGCTCTTGTCAACAATTTTGATCAACTTTACTCTCGGACACCACCTGCTAACTATGGCCCCAACAATGATCTTAACTAGCAAGAGTGGACCTTCTGATAAACCGCAACACAACAGTCAGTGACTTTGTGAGATGATTCCCTAATTCTGCTTCAGACCCACCAGTCTTCTCCTATCCTGAGCCATCAAAGCTCGCTGTGGTAAGTGGTTAATAGGTTTAAGAACATGAATCCGTGGCACCTCATTCGACAAAAACCCATAACTTTATTAACAAGTGTGATACATTTATCTAGTGTCTGACGATTATTTCTAGCATTATTTACTTTGTCGCTTCACCATACGTGAGGGCCCCATAGACAAACTGTGCAATGCACAGAATACCTAGTTATAATGGACACTTTTTAATTGACAAATTAAAATCTGACCTGGGCCTCAGATGGTGCAATGTAATAGAAGCCGAACTGGTATCTTGTATCTTTGGAGAGATTTTGTCAGCCAGTGAGACATAATTGTTTTACATAGTAAACTTATGAATACGTATGTCATATTGGAACATAATTTTATAACATTTTGTTTCGATTTAGGATAAATATTCGAAAACTAACATCACTAGTTATTTTGTTGTAATCTTCTACCTTACATGTAAAAAAATATATTTGGCAACCATGACGTACCTGGTTTACTATCTGGTCGGACTCCTTGACTCCGTAACCTTTCAATATGAGCAAGTACCGTAGGCACTCTTCGATAAACACCATAGATCCTTCAGCTAAAATACCATTAGATATTTTTCGTGTCTCAGAAGAGTAACCCAGTATGTTCAAAAATGTACATGCTAGATCAGGAGACGTTTGTTCCGATAAT